TCACAGGTGCATGTATGGGTATGGACACCTGCACGTACACAATACAGATGCAAACAGGTGCTAGATAGATAGATCAGACAGACAGACAGACAGATGATAGATGATAGATAGATAGATAGATAGATAGATAGATAGATAGGCAGATAGATAGATGATGATAGATAGATGATAGGTAGATAGATAAATGATAGATAGATAGATAGATAGATAGATAGATAGATAGATAGATAGATAGATAGATAGATGATAGATAGACAGATAGATGATAGATTAATAGATACATAGATAAAAAGATATATCTTTGAAATCAATAGGAATTTGGTCCAAGATTGGCACAAAAACAAATTCCCTCCATGACCAAAAATTTCAAACTCTGAAATAGGAAATTGGAGTAGATTAACTATTTTTTTTTGTTTTTGTTTAGCTGTTGTTTATTTGTTTTGTTGTTGTTGTTGGGTTTTTGGTTTTTGGTTTTTGGTTTTTTTGAGACAGTGTCTCCCTGAAGCCCCAGCTGATCTGGGACTCACTGTGTTCAAGACCAGACTGGCCATGATATCACAGAGATTCACCTGTCTCTGCTTCCAGAGTCTGGAGAATAAAGGTGTATGCCACCAGACCAAGCAGAAAAACTCAGTTTTTTAAGGTTTATACGGTTTATTTCCCTTTATTTTATTATGTTTTTCCTGCATATATGAAGGTGCACTACACGCATACCTGACAACCACAGAGATCAGAAGAGGGCATTAGATACCCTGGAACTGTTAAGGTAGTTGTTACCCATCATGCCGGTGCTGAAAATTGTACCCAGGTCTTCTACAAGAGCAGCAAGTGCTCTTAACTGCTAAGCCATCTCTTCAGCAACTAGACTGACTCTTAAAATGCCCTGTGTTTTGATATCCTGATATGTCCTAACAGATCTGATGATCATCTGTCTGATGACTTACTCCAGATAAATCAAACAAAAGGGGAGGAATCCATCCATATCTTCTCAGTGGCATCAATAGCGGCTGATTACACGCTGCTAGGGCTAGGGACAGCCTGATATCCAATGTCCAATTATAGGGTGTGTGTGTGTAGAATTTATGTGTGTCAGTAATTGTTCTTCTGGTAGGTCAGAGAATCAAGAGCTAAACAGAAGAATATCAACTTTCACACATGGCTCTCTGAGAGAGTCACAGGATTTGGGAACTGTGCAGCAGGAGGGTGAAAAAGGAGCTAGGAGGTGTGCTTGATAGCTTTAGTGTCAACTTGACACACCTGGGTTGAGGGAGCCTCAATTGGGAAATTGCCTCCATTGAACTGGCCTGTTGTGGGGCATCTTCTTGATTGTTGTGTGATGTGGGAGGGCCCAGCCCACTGTGGGTGGTGCCACCCTTGGGCAGATGGGCCTGTGTTGCATAAGAAAGCAGGCTGAGCAGTGGCCAGGGGAGCAAGCCAGTAAGCAGCATTCCTCCATGGCTGTGCTTCAGCTCCTGCCTCCAGGTTCCTGCCCTGAGTTCCTACCTTGGGTTCCCAGATGAACTGTGACCTGGGATATGGTAAGCTAAATAAACCCTTTCCTCCTCAAGTTGGTAGTGTTCAGAGTGTTTTGTCACAGCAATGAAGAAACAAACTAGGACAGGAAGTAACGTTATAGATAACAAGACATTGAACAGATGAAATGCCACCATCAAGTGGTATGCTTATCTCTATTATTAGATGTTGAAATGGACCTCAGAGAGGGAGATGATTTGGCCAAGGTGACACAGCCAGCTGACATCAGGACTGGGGTTGGAAGTACATTCTCATTGCTCCAGCTCACATGATGCACGGGAACACATTACTTCACTACCCAAATCAATGAGAATCTACCCAAGTAAGAAAGAAAGAAATCTGTGTACTCCTTCTACCTCAAATTCAAAAAACAGTGACTGAGTAATTTTACTCAAGGCAGACTAGGACAATTTTCAAAAATGATAATTAACATTTCATTCTGGTGATATAAATAAGTTCATGAGAACTGGTTGGGTATTAGTCATCCTAGCTAATGAATCACCATGTAGAAAATGGAGCTAGCCAATGGTCCAAGGAGGCCAGAAGTCTGGTCTTGTTCTAGTTCAGATCTTGACTGTTAAAGAACATGAGGTATCAGCTCTAAATAGTAAACAGGGTATAAGATTTCAGATTCCATGAAGTACAGATTTAAATAGATTTGGTTTGGAAACAGGACAGGGAGCACACCGCAGTTGGTGGATCAATGTCAAAATCAAAGGAAAACGATTACACTCATTGAGTGCCTGTTGATATGTATACTGTCAAATTTATTTATTTAAACTGTTATCCTTTTTATAATTTTTACAAGATTATTGTAAATTTCTCCATCATGCTTCCAGAATATTTAGTTCTCTACTTTCCAAAGGTTATTTTAGACTTCCATCCTTCTGTCTCCACAACTCCAAACCTCAAAAAAGGCAGATTATGCTGATGGACAAACAGACGGATAAATATAGAGAGGATGGATAAACAGGCAGACAGACAGAGATGAAATTCTCCATTTTTAAGAGCAATGTTTGTAGCCTTTCCAAGTTTGGTTAAAACTCTACTTTGAAGTCTTTAGATTTCAGTGAGGGAAGAAGATGAAGTTAAACAGTTTCCCAAGATTATTTTATCAGAAATTAATAAACGGAATCTAAAAGAATATGCATTTGAACACCGCAGTTTCTAAATGAACAGATGCAGTCTCTGAAATAGAAAACTGGGGTAGACTAATTCTCAAAATCCCCTTTGGTTTGACATTCTGACCTGTCCTAATAGATCTGATGCTTCAGTATGGGTAAGTCAAAAGACAGTAGAGGAATCTAGCTCTTCTTAGTGGTGTTAATAGTGGGTTTAACAAGTCATCTGAAAATGAGACCCTGAACAACGTGAAAGAACAGAGGAAGACTGACTTCCTTTCTAACTTGAAACTGCATGTCACTAGTGCTATCAAAAACTATGGTAAGAGATGCCTACAGGACTTTCCCCTCTTATACACTGGGACTTGAAAATGATGTATTAAAAAGGGGTTTCTGCAGGGACATGTTGTAGACTACACTAGAACTAAAAGATGGAACTTCTTGCCTGTGCTTTTCTCTTAATAAAGGCATGAGAAGAGACTCTAAGTGACTGGAATGGTTGCTGCGTTTGAGCCAATTACAGAAGCCCCTCACTTCATGTCACCAACCCATTGCATATTTAGTATATGTGATAAATGTTAGATTGAAGATCCTGCTAGCCTTACACCACAATTCCCATTTGACTATAATTTGCTAAGGCCTATAAATACAAGGCAGTATCAACCAATCTCAGTTTACTCAGAGAACTGTGCAAAGTCATGTTTGCAGTTTGTCATCATAGAAATAATCCACCAAAAGAATTAATAAAATAGTTTATAGGATAAATGTTCATAGCAATCAAAATGAGGATTCCAAATCTTTTAACTTTTAAATTTTTATTTATGTGTATGAGTGTACTGGTGGCACGTGGGTAAGTGCACCCATGTCATATACTGCCTGTGGAAGTCAGAAGAGGACATTAGATACCCTGAAACTGAACTCAGGTCCTCTTGCAAGAGTAGTCAGTGCTCTTAACTAACCACTGAGCAATCTCTCCAGCCCCAGATTCAAAATCCTATATAAAGTTTTACCTGAGAAGGCCCACACTTGGAACATCATATTGACTGCTCTACTTCTGGCTAAGAAATTTAAAAGATTACACAGAACACAGAAGCACTCACTAGAAGGTGCAGATCAGCAGGCTGGCTATAAGAAACAAAAACAGAAATAGAAGATGTAAAGTGGAGGGTAAGTAAGGTAGGAGTGGAGATGGGGGAGGGCGTCTGAATAGCATCAAAATACATTGCACGAAATTCTGACAAAGTAAATTAAAAAATCTTTTTAGGTACTGGAGAGATAGCTCAGCAGGTAAGAGCACTGGCCACTCTTGCAGAGAACCTGGGTTCAGTTCCCAGCACCCATATATCAGCTAACAATGGTCTGTAACTCCAGTTCCAGGATGTGACTCCCTCTTCTGACCTCTGAAGGTGCTGCATGGCATGGGTACACTTAAATATACTCATACACATAAAATAAAAATAACTATTTTTAAGCCAGGCATGGTGGCGCATGCCTTTAATCCCAGCACTTGGGAGGCAGAAGCAGGTGGATCTCTGTGAGTTCAAGGCCACCCTGGTCTACATAGTGAGTTCCAGGACAGCTGGGGCTACAAGGAGACCCTGTCTCAAAAAGACCAAAAAATAAAAAATAAAATAAAAATGAAAATAATAACTATTTTTAAACCTTCTTTTTAAAAAGAGAAAACACTTGAACTAAGATGCCCCTTTTCTCTCTCCAGCAGCCTCGTTTTCTTGATAACCTCCAGATGAATGCGTTGTCTCCAAAGGCCTCTTTGTCCTTGGCAGTGGTTCCGCGGCAGAGCACATGAAGACATACAAGACTAACTCACTTTTCGTCCTTTTTCTCTGAAACCTTGCAAACTGTGGAGTGGGGGTAGATGATTTATTGGTCAGATAAGATAGTGATTAACTCTACTAATATTTTTTGGTTTGTTGAGAGCCAAATAATTTGGGCAGTATAGTAAGTTAAAAATGCACACAAGGAAGGAGGAGGGAGGAAACTGGACAGAAAGCCTGCCTGCCATGTTCTATCACAATAAAACAGTGGGAATGAATATCCTACTATATAGCACAGTATGGAAGCTCCAACATTCATTAAATATCTATTTTGCATATTGTACAGATATTTGCATTTGGGTATTAAACTTTAAGTGGTAGAAATTGAAAAAGAAAATTAAATCAAGATGACACAGGAGAGGGCAGCTTAAAGTTTTGGCTAGTCTTTATGTTTTTGTTGCCCATGAAATACCTCTGTGCTACTTCCACTGAGAATAAACCAACCTTAAGTGTCACTGGCTCAGACACCTACTAGCATTACCTAAATGTGAAGACACCAACCCTCTCTTACCTCAGGTAGCTCTGGGATCTTGGAATGGACAATGGAGCCAACTGAAATGCTAGTCTCTGTAAAAAAAAAAAAAAAAAAAAAAAAAATAGGCAGAAGTTACTTGTGGGCAATGGGCAATAAGCAAGACTATTTTTATCCATCAGTAATCATAACCTCGTATCTACGAAGCAGTCTGTTTGGCAAAACATTTCCATATCCATATTCTTACTTCACCCTACAGCAAGTTGATAAAGAAGCAGGAAAGGATTGTTCTACCCATATCTGAGAGACAGAAAATGAGAGAAGAGGACCTATAACTCATGTGAGGAGATTCACAAACATGACATGGAAAATGGTCACCACTGTCCTTACTTTACAGATGTTTAAACAGATGTTCAGAAAACTTACCAAGACTATACAGTATAGAGCAATATGCCCCTGGTCTGGTGATCTTTCTGCCTTAGCTTCTCCTAGGTCATGAGGATAGGGAACACAAGCAGCTCACTGATCTGATCCATAGGTCTTAGTTGAGGAGGGTGTTAAAGAAAACCAAGCATCTGACTAACAGGGACCTGGGATAGCACACAGGATTTAGAGCCAGTCCACCTGTCTTCCTCTTACCACTGGCCTTAGGCAAGTTACTAAAACTCTCTATCAACTTCCTCATATGGGAATAAAGATTGTCTATATTTCATAGTCAAAACTTGTCCTCAGTTAAACCTTTGGCAGGAGCAGGAAAAACTTCTTCCATTATTCCAAATCTATAGAGGTCATACACAAATATAGTTGTCCTATACAATGCTCATATTTCTTTTCCTGAACCCATGTTTACATATTCCAGGATGATGTTAGAAGCACACAATGCTAGAGAGCATTCTTGTAGATGGCTATTTCTGTGATTCATGGCCCTAGTTTTTAAATATCATGACATTTATTTTTTTCAATCTCACCTAGTCTCTCCCCACCCCCACTTCTCTCTCTAGGCAACAAGGCAACAAAAAAAATTAAAAATAAAAACTTAAGTGTACCCTCAATCTTGCCAAAACAAAAGCCAGAGCCTTAGGTGGAAGGGCTGTTGCTGAGCCACACGTCATTTTAGTTTGTGCCTACAGTTTGTGCCTGAGGTTAGAGGAGGTGGAGCATCCCACAGAACTGCAAGAACAAAGGGAACTTGCTTGGTAGTTTACATAAATTCATTGAAAACAGTTTCATTAAAATGTCCAGTTTTCATAAAGCACTCAAATTAGATTAAGAAAGTACAGCTAAGAAGTTGCCCTACAAGAAACTCATCACCTACAGCCCAAATAAAAGCTTTAACCATCCTCTAACACTATAATTTATAGTCTGGAAAATATTACAAGCTCATTATATCTCCAATCATCTTCATTATATTCTCAATGAGACCTTACTCTTCCAATTTCACAAATACAGACTCCAAACTTCAAAGATCGAAAAATTAACATGAAGCAGGTAAAAAATTCAACCTAGTGCCCTGATACCAAGTACTTGCATCTTATATAATATAATCTCCTAATTAGCAGAGTAACTTAATAACATCGGGAAATGGAAAGCAAGTAGGTAACATACAAATTTGAATTGTAATTAAGCAAAGAATGCCAAATTCAGAAGGAAAAATGCGTTCAGTTTTCTCTCAAATGAAAAATGCAGAAACTATATTTAAAATATTTTTTAAAGACATGAAAGTAAAGAGGATTCCACTGGAAAAATGTGGAAGGCCTGACAGGACAGTGGAAGCAGGTACAGAGAGGGTAGGTGTGGATGAACAGGACTAAAGTCCTCTGTATACACAAATGACGGGCAGTGAGGAAAAGCCATCATGGAAAGTTTATGAGAACCAGTATTTTATATAAATAATATACGCTAATTTAAAAATGAACAAAAATTCAACTGTCAGAACATGGAAGCACATTTAGTTTGGGGTTGTGCCTCGCCAGTAAGTGAAAGAAGAAAACTTTGCATCTGTGGTCTGAACAGAAGGTGACACGTGACTAAGTGGTCGAGGATGGGTTACCATGAACACTTTCTCAGAGCTCCCCAGAGAAGTTTTACATATGCAGCATCCTTTAGTAAAGTGTTGAAACCCAAGCCATGAAACAAGAGTCTGAGCGGGCACTCCTTCATCAAAAACTCTCCTCATAGACAATGGAAAAGCTAAAACCTTCTATGCATGCAGTTAACAAAGCCCTCTCACATGGTTTGAATGTTCTGTGTCCTCAGAAGCTACTGGGAATTTCACAATGCAGTGAAGCTCTCCATAGCCCAGAAGGGCATGAAAAACTGACAGATCTCATGCCAGCCTTTAGCAATGAAACCAGACGACCTTAGCTGCTTCTGGATTTTAGGACTGCTGACCCAAAACCTCACATGGATGCATCAATTCTCCTTTCTTCTCCCCAAACAATGTTCTCACCTCCAGAAGCAATTTCAGCCAAACATAATCTATGCTCTCAAGCTCAAACTTGTAAAACCTCTACCTATAAACTGGAATTTTTGCAAAGCAAGACTCAAAACCAAGGTGAAACTGCTATAGCACTATTAATAATTTGTTTAATTTTAGATAAAACAAGTCAGAAAACGTGACTTATAGGAAAAAAAAATAGAGAAAGGCAAGCCAAGATTGACAGTGATGGAAAGCCAGAAAAGAAAGAAATAACATAAGAAGTAGAGCAAAGAGGCATATTTCACTGGGCTTTAGACAAACCCTGATATTTTGAATTGCAACCAAGAAAAAATGTAAGCCCTAAGGTGACGATGCAAAAATTACAAACAAAATGCCTAAGTAGAAAAAGTCCAAGATTACAAATAAGCAATAAGACAGAGGCTTATAAAACAAAATTTCTACTAAAGTTAATTTGGCCTACTGTCCCAGACCATCTTTCAGAAAAGAGAATGTTGCCATTCAAAGAACAGAAGACTAGAGAACCGAGGACCCGGACTCCGTCTTGGTGTTGGAACGCCACATTCTTTTGACTAGAAGTTGCAGAAAATACACATCCTGTGTTTTTCTTTTCAGAGGTCTTGACTATGGTTGCCTTTAAACCACTAGAGAAGTTCAAAAACTGTTTGGTCCAGATTTTTTCATACTTTTCACAAATTTCATGTGGCAGGGAGACTATCACTCATAATAATATTTGTTTGAAGCAAATGATGTTAAAATGTTAAATGTAGAACTCTGTCCCTATAAGCAACTGAAATACTACATCAGAGCAAAGGCATTAGATGATAAATGTGGAGTAGCCCCAACTCTGACCATCAAATCCCACACTGCCTCACCCATCGCTCTAAGGTACTTAGCAAGAATACAACATATTCCATGGTTTATGAATGATTTGGTTGTCTCATTAAAGTAATGTTTGTCAGCATTTAATTGCTTCCCTCCCTGATTTTAATTTCCTCACCTGTCAACATCGATCAGAAACACTGAAATCATCTGACATACTGGTTGATTATGTTGAAATTAATCAGATTTTTTTTAAGTTAAATTGCTTTGGCCTAAAGGTGATGCACAACTTCTTAATGTGATATTTAGGAGCAATCGATCAATGGAGCTTATAATCTGGAAAATTAAACAAGAGACTATGAATTCTGAGGATAAACACAAGTGACTTTTAAGCCTACAGTACTGGAGTTCAAAAGGTCAGTTTAAAAAAAGAAGTAGTTTAATAAACAAGCCCTGACAGAGCAATAACATAGTGTCGATGAGCACTCTGGAGTGAGCAGACAGGAAAAGATGTAAGAGTTATTTCAAAAAGTTTGAGAAACATGTTAAGAATTAATGAATAAAGATGCACATGCTTGAATAACATAACTAATACTCTGGCCTCTCAAAAGTTGCATTTTCTGTTGATAACTGTTATCAGCTAGATACTTGTGTTTTCATGCAGATAAATTATTTTATTCCTCACTGCAACTCAGTGAGGTGCAACTGGTGCTATTACTAATAATAGTAACAATCTTCTCATTTGACAAGTGACAGAGCTGAAGCACAGACCAACAAAGGAACTTTCCTAGACACCTGGTAGCAAGCAGACTTGGTTTCATGATCTATGTTAACCAGGCAATACATCATTATGATTATTTGGAAGAGAAGTTAAAAAATTAAGTGTAAATCCTCCATATGTAATTATTCACTGTTAATTCTTGTGCTAATATCTATCAAACAAAAACTGCAGAAAACACACTTAGAAACCTTCAAGCACCAAACTCTTTTATAAGACAACAAAATATTTTGCAATGTGTCCTAACGGCATGAGTTTATTTTAATGCATTAATGTAGTTAGTCTCAGAAATACAGGCACAGGCATTCATGTAATAATTCGGTGCCAAAGTGACCCCATCATAGTAGCACACCTATGTTCAATTTACTCTGCCCATCCTGAGGCTCCTGAACTGAATAGAAGACCATTGAAAGCACGGAAGGTACGGAGAGCTGAGAGTAACAAATGAAACCTGGAGGTTAAGTCTCGGGAAAACAAACAAACAAACAAAACATCCATAGTAAGCCTGTTATGTCTTTCCAGTAGACTCTGGGCCCCTAGTCAATTGTAAATGGTTCCTTTAATGTCAAACTTTTCCGTATACTAAAACAGTCAACGAAGCAGATTTTCCTTCCAGAAGTCATTTATTATTTTTTTTTATTTTTACTATCACAGTATTAGTTTTCAATATGGCATTTTCAGACAAAATTTGTTTTGTTGATTCTCCCATTCTCCCCCATCCCTGACTCCCCGTAACCCTTCCACCCTCCCATGGCCTCCTTTCCCTTTGATGCCTCTCGTGTCCTATCACTTCCCCCCCCTTTCCTCAGCATGTCTTTCTCACCTTCAGAGTCTTCTTTCTCATTCCATTGCCACTCTCACCTCTACTTATAAACAAACACAAAAATTATAAGCTATTGGGCTGGAGAGATAGCTCAGAGGTTAAGAGCACTGGCTGTTCTTGCAGAGGACCCAGGTTCAATTCTTAGCAGTCACATGACAGCTAGCAACCGTCCACAACTCCAGTTCCCAGGGAATTTAGTGCCCTCTTCTGACCTCCACTAGAACTGTACAACATA